AGGAGGAGAGAGGAGGGAGGGTGGGAGAGGGACAGTAAAGGCAAGAAGGGAAGGAAGGCGCAGGCGCCTATGGGGAGAGCTCCCCAGGGGGTGCGCTCCACTTGGTAGCAAGGCCGGACCAGGTGGGCAGACGGGGAGGGTACCGAGCACAGTGCCCATGGCTGCCCGGCCCCTTGTTCACTGGCAGCCCAGGGGCCAAGGAGCTTGGGGCCCTGTAGCTGTCGGACCCTTTGCTTCTGCCTGACGCTCCAGAGGCGAATGAGAGTCCGGCCCTGTGGCTGTTGAGCCCGGGACTCGAGTGTAAGCTGTGGGCAGCCCTGAGGGGGCAGGCCGCAGGAGAGAGGGGCCCCTGTGCACCGCCCCCCCCCCCCCCACCAGCTCTCTGCTTTCTTTGAAACCCGTGGCTGGGTTAGCATCAGGTTCACTGTGCAGCCCTGCTTCTTACTCCCGGGTATTGGAGGGAGGAAGGACAAGGCGAGTGGAGCCCCGACCATGTGGGTGGCCTGGCAGTTCCAAAAGCACAGAGTTGGCCGGCGGAACAGCAAGAGATGTGCTGGGACCGTCCCCTGCGCAGGGACTCACTGTGGGGCCGGCCACGAACCAACCCCAGGCCGTGGGGTGGCCAGCGAGTCCGGGTCCAAGCACAGCCCAGGGTGTGCGTCTACCCCACCCCCAGCGCCAGTGATCTGAGGGGCCACAGCCCGCCGAAGCCCCTGAGAACGACAGCGTTACCAGAAAAAGCTCACAGCTGAGGCCCCAGGAGCCTTGCCCCTGGACGAGCCAGGGCTTCGGGGGCTTTGCCGAAACCCAACTCAGGGGCGCAGCTGGCCCTGAGCAAGGAAGGACGAGGTGGACACACAGGCACGCGGATCACCCACCCGCCCCGCCGACGGCTCCAGCCCCAGTCTGCCAAAAGCCTCACTGCTGTGCCCGTCCCTCCCCACCGCCCACAGCCCACCGGATCTGCGTCGCCGCGCTGTGTGGGGCCAGCAGGCAGGACTGAGGAGGAAACAGACCCAGAGAGGAGACAAACTTGCTCAAGGCCCTACCATGATGACAAACAGCCTCAAACTCTCAGCGCCGACTTTGAGAGGCTCGGGGCTCCGGGTCTGTGCGCGCCGCCCGCAGCAGGAGCTGGCTCATGCCGAGGGAGCGACCCCACAGCCAGGACCCCGTGACCCCCGCAAGGTGCTGCGGGCTGGTGTCCGAGGGCCCTGTGGGTGCATCACGACAACACCCGGCTTCCCTTGCGGGCTCTGCAGATGGGCCCGCTGCTTGGTGGACAGTCCCAGGGACAATACAACCACCAAGCTCAGTGCTGCTGTGCCAGAAACGGTTCCAAGTATTTCACGCGCGCTCTCATTCTCTCGCCAACGGCCCCCAACGTAGGTACTGTCGTTAACCCACTTTGACAGATAATAGTAACCGAGGTGGGGCGGGGGGCGGGGGTGCAGCCTGAATTGGGCAGCGAACCAGGAGCAGCCCCAGATCAGGCAGCACCCGTCTCCGTCTCCAGGTGAGGGCCTCCTTTTGAAGCCAGCCTGGTGTCCTCTGAGGCCCCAGACTGAGGGTGACGCACGGGTGACACAGGCGGGGACCGGGGCTGGCGTCCTCCAGCGGAGGGGCGCTGACCACCGTGCCGCATGCCCTGCCCTCCCCCTGCCAGCCCCGCACCTCTCTTGGCAGCGGCCCGGCCAGCGCGTGGGGCAGGCTGTCGGGGCAAAGAGCAGCTATTTCTGTCTTACGTACGCTCTTGCTCGACTGCAACCTTGATTTCTTTTAGGATTTGCTTAATTTTGTTCTGACCTGACGGCCTCTGTGACTCTGCTGTGTTCACTGAAGAGGCACTAAGTGCCTGAGTCCCAGAGGCTGCAGAGATGTTGGCCATCAGTCTGCACGCGGCCCCTGAGCTGGGGCGGGCTGCGGCCGCCCCTCCTGCGCTGGCGTCACGGGGCGTCTGCCCCGGCTGCACAGTCGGGAGAGGGAGCGGCTGGCCCTGCCCCAGTGCCCCTGGGGCTCACCCCGCGGCAGAGTGCGACTGGGCCCCTCGGTGCCTCCACAGGCCGGGCGGGCCCGGGGCCACTCACCGTGGTCTCGTCTTCATGGAGCACCTGGTCATAGCCGCTGAGCGCGACACAGAAGATAATGGCTGTGACGTCCTCAAAGCAGTGGATCCACTTCTTGCGTTCAGATCGCTGGCCCCCGACGTCGAACAGCCTGGTGGGGAGACAGGGAAGCTGTCTGGGAGTGGTGGGCGGTGGGGCCCAGGCAGGTGTGGGGAGGCCTGGTCAAGCCCCGAGCCTGCCGAGAAACCCCACTTCAGGTGCTGACAGGCAGACCGTGGCCGTCGGTCCCGTGCCTGGGCTGTGCTCGCATGCTGGGACTCGAGCGCCTGCCCTCGCACCTCGAGAACCGTACTGAGGGCTACGCCTCAGCCACCCCAGTAAAGGTCTCTGCGGGGCCCTCCTCTCAGGGCAACATGCACATCCTGTTCCTGGCCTTCCGAGTGTGTCTGCTCACGTCTGTGGTCTGGGCACACTCCAAACCAGCCTGGGGGGAGTCGGGCAGGTGGGGACTGTCACCTGTTTTGTGGAGGGAAAGGAAGGCCACAAGGGGTTAAGTGCCCGCGGCCCCGGCGGGAGCTGGCACGGTAGGGCCGGGGTCTGACCCGGATGTGTCCACGGACACAGCCTCATCTCTGCTCTGTGCCACCCCTCCCTGGCAGATGGCTGCCTGCCGCTCCCCCTCCTGGCTTCTCCCTCTGCTCCACCGACACCCAGAAACCACATCTGGAAGGTAGGTGGGGGTAAGACAGGGACTTCCAGGCCTCAGTGCATGGAGGTGACCCCAGGTGGGGACACGACTCTCTGGGAGGGCCCAAGAAGTCCAGCCTCATGCCTCAGGCCTCTGTTCTGAGGTGCTCTGGGCTTCTGGACTTGAGTTGTGTTTTGTGCTTGGGGACAGCCTTGCTCTCAGGCCTCGGTTTCCCCACATGTACTCGGAGACGGTGGGTCAGCTGATCTATGAGCGCCGTCTAGCTCTGAGGTAATCTGGGTCATCGGGTCTCACAGATTTTCTTACACTTACCCGTCATTCCCTCCCCCTCCTCACAGGGAGGCCTTTGAGGGGCTACCCCCTCCTCAGAAGTCACCCAGGTACAAGACTACCGCCCTTTGTCTACTCAAATCCTCTGTTCCTTGGAGACACACTCTAGAACGCTGCCTCTTCCAGGAAGCCTCCCTGTTCATCCTAGGCCCTGAACTTGGTAGAAAACAGACACACAGACAGGTCCCTTCTCATATCTACTGTCTGTCCCCACTGCAAAGCCCCCCAAGGCGGGGCGAACACTGGGTGTTCCAGACAAGACAAGGCGGAGAGGCTGGTGGCTCCTATCTGTCCCGGTGTCCTCACCAGGACAGGGAGGCTTCCCGGGCCTCACCTGAAGTGGAGGTTCTTGAATGTGAAGTGGGTTTCCACGATGCCAGTGGTTTTGACCCTGGTTCGGAGGATATCCTGCTCGGTGGGCTGGTAGTCGGCGGCCCCGATCCGATCCAGGCTGTCCAGGTAGCTGGGGATGGCAACACACAGGGGCCCTGGAACAAGCCAGCCCGGCCCTGGCCAGCGCCCCCTGGGGGCCAACCATGGAAGGGATGGCACCCCCCCCACCCCCCACCCCCCATCCAGGGGCCTGTGTTGGGGGCAGAGAGTGGGAGGTGCCCACGGAGGAGGGGAAGCTTACTTAAGTCCTGGCCTCACATTCTCAAAGAGCCTCTCACTGAGTCAAGGGCTGTGTGTGTAGTTCCAGATGCATTTAGAGAAGCTCAAACTCTTTTTCTTTTTTTAAAAAAAAATTTTTTTTTTTAACGTTTATTTATTTTTGAGACAGAGAGAGACAGAGCATGAACAGGGGAGGGGCAGAGAGAGAGGGAGACACAGAATCTGAAACAGGCTCCAGGCTCTGAGCTGTCAGCACAGAGCCCGACGCGGGGCTCGAACTCACGGACTGCGAGATCATGACCTGAGCCCAAGTCGATCGCTTAACCGACCGAGCCACCCAGGCGCCCCTAGAGAAGCTCAAACTCTTACATGAGACTGTTTGTAGCGCTGTTTTGTCATGTCTTCCTCTTAAAATAATAGTGGCCAATAGTTATGTTCGACCCTTTACATTGTGATCGCGTTTCATCCTTAGTTTTCCTGAGTTCAATGTACCATTTTATCTATTAGAAAACCAACAGTCAACAAAGCCAAGTACCTTGCCCAGCCGTGCGCCCGGGCTCGAAGGCAGACATCTAGCGCCGGGTCCACCTCTTAACAGTACTCTAGAGTGCTTCCAGAAGGCCCTCTGGGCATCCGCCCACCTTTCCACCCTTGCTCAGAGTCTACCGGGGCATCTGCCGCACCTTTCCATTGGTGCCCTTGGAAGGGAGGCTCAGAGGTCACGCAGCTGGGCAGGGGCTGGGCCTTGCGGACCGCGTCTTTGGCATCGGGGCTCTCTTTTCTATCACCACTCGCCCTGGAGACAGACCAGGCCTTTGCATTTTACCCGCCCAGGCTGAGAACCCAGAAGGGCTTTGGGGGTCTGTATGGGTCAGGCCTGAACCCAAAGTTGGGGTGGGAAGTGGAAAACCAGGAATGAGGGAGGTGAGCCAGGCCTGAAGGCCATTCAGTGACCCACAAGGCTGGCTGGGCCATCCACCCCTTGTGCTGGGGGAGAAGCACACACAGCCCACAGGGGAGGAGCCCCGAGGGTCCAAGCCACAGGACGACGTGGGGTCCCGGGTTGCCAGTGGAAGGGGCTGTGCTTCATTAGCACCAGCCCCGGGACACGTGGGGGCCAGCTCCTTGGCTTGAGGATGTTCATGGGGCTGAAGGGTGGGGCGGCTTCACCAATGAGGGTTTCTACTGGTAAACCAATAGTCCAGGCCTGCCTCAAATCCTTGTGAGGATTTTCCCTAAGGAAATAAAACCGAATGCTGGGTTCCTAGGCAGAGGAGGCATAAGCTTGAAGTCACGCTGCAAAAAGGAGACACTGCTAGGCTTTGAGCCCGGGTGTGCCTGACTCCAGATACTGTGCTCTTAAACAGGCCTCCAGGCCTCCTCTCCTCTGTGGACCGAGGGGAGCAGCGGCCACAGAGCAGACCTGGAGGCTCTGGCTGCCTCATCGTATCCTCGCCGGGCCCACGGGGGCGTCTGGGCTCTGGGCTCAGGCTGGAGGAGCTCGTCCCAGCCCTTCCCAATCCTCCCAACCCCTCTGGGCATGGCCCTCCCCCCACTCCCCTGGCCTCTGCTCAGGAGCCACGCCAGTTTTGAAATGACCCTCGTTCTGTTGTCTCCAGCTGGACACTAGGGCTGCGAGCCTCTAGTCTTGGCCCCCCCGCCCCAGCCGGGAAACCTCCTTTAGACAGAAAATCTGGCCCTCCGTCTCTGTGCTGGCCGAGCCTCGCCCAGGGAGATGGCCGAGGGAGAGGCCTGCTGTATATTCCACCTACCCATCGTCCCGGGTGCTGGGAGGAGACCACAAGCAAGACCAACACAGTCCTGCCTTCCTGGAGCCTGCGTGTGTGTGCGTGCGCATGTGAGATAATTAACAGCTAAGTAAGGTACAGAGCATATCAGGAGGAAAGACTCAGACGGCTGGTAAGGAGGAGGTCTGTGGAGGGCTGCTATCGGACAGAGGGTGGCTGGGGAAGGCAGGATGACACTGGAGTGGAGACTGAGGGAGCCGGCTCGTGCAGAGGCCGTCCTGCGGCGGAGGAGGAGCCTGGGACGCAGACACGGGACCGGGGTGGGGCGGTCGGAGGCACGTGTGGCAGGAGAAGGGCTGTGGGACTGGAGTGGGGTGACGGAGGCAAGGGTGGGGCACAGCTGGTAGGCCCGTGAAGTGACTCTAGGCACCTCGGCTTTCGCTCTGAGTAGGACAGGAAGCCTCTGGAAGGTTCTGATGAAGAGTTGGAATAACGGCTCTGGCGCCGTAAGGAGAGCAGATCGGGAGGGAGGAGTGGGGACAGCTGTCGGGAGGTTGTTGAAGCCGTGCAGGGCAGAGAGGCCGTGGCAGGTCACACCACAGTGGCAGCTATGCAGGGGCCTGGGGCAGGGTGGGGTGTGGGACGCAGAGCCCATAAAAGCCGCCTCCTCGTGGTGTGACAAAGCTGCACTCGGTGGGAGGAAGAACAGAGGCAGAGCAGGCCTGGGGTGGTTGGGGGCCAGGAGTCAGTGGGCACGTACGAATTTGAGATGTGCTGAGGTGTCCACATGGACACCGAGTAGGCTGAACTCGGGAGGGAGGGCTGGGCCGGTGACATAAATGAGATCTGTCCGGGTGTGTGAGGAATTCAGGGCGACGAGGCTGCAGATCACCCAGGCACTCTGCATAGACTGGAAGAGGTTCAAGGACTCCAGTGAGGGCACAGGCGGAGGGCGGGGAGGTGACCGAGAAAGGGTGGCAGGCAAGGAAGCCTGAGGCACCACCCCCTCCCTGGGGGCACCGTGAGGAGTGGGCTCCAGGAGGCAGTCAAGAGCCCGAGCAGTCTTAACAGGGGTGTGGGAGCACAGCCTGAGGGGTGGGCTCCTGAGAGAGGCAGGAGAAAAAACAGTCCTAACCAAACCATGGAACTGGCTTGTACAGCCCCTGCTTGGACGGGTGCTCAGATTTCTGGGCTTCTGGGGCCTGTCTCAGCATCGGTCAGAGGGGCGAAGGGAGAGTCTGCTCTGTTCACAGCGGTCTGGGTGCAGGGAGACAGTTGAGAGCCTGCACAGGAGCCTGGCCGTACCAGCCCTGGTATCCTCACCTGCAAGTGAGGTGACCGGGCCGGGGACCTAGTGACAGGCTCTGGGCCTTGGGGAGCCACTCACACCATCCCCCTGGAATTGTGCCCTGAGATGGCCCAGTGGGGCTCCCTCTGTGTCACAACAAACCCACTGTTAACTGTTTTCATATGTCGCACCCAGGATTCAGTCAGAAGAGGAGATCTGGCTGCTAAAACCACAACGGCAAAGCCACACCCTGGACCAGGAAGTGTTTAAGCCCTTCTGAACCTGACTGCTGTGGGCCCCTGCCCTTGCCTGCCCTGGGACCCTGTTCTAGAGACAAACACGCAGAGAGAAGAAGGCTGATTTCCTCAGCTGACTTGGGGAGTTGACAAAAATTGACTCAAGTTTCTTATTTAAAGTAATGAAAGTAACCACCAGAAGATCCACAAATAATGCCCTAACTAGCAAAAAACTGGAAGCAGGGAAGAGACATGGAAGACAGGCAGGTTGGACGGTCAGGTTTTCCTGGACAACACTGGGACAAAGAAAAAAGTTGGAGGGGGACAGGCTTGGGAGAATCTACTATTAATTTTATACCTCTCTATACTGTTAAACTTTTTTTTTTTTTTTTGCAATGAATTCATGGTACAATTCAATGGACAACAACTTAAGTGGAGAGCACAATTGAGGGCATCAAGGGGGTGGGGGATGGGAAGTCCCTGGACTTGGGCCCAGCAGGGGCAGGGAAGGGGAGAAGGAAGCAGGACTCTCTCCCCACTGGAACGTCTTAGGAGGAAGACCCAGATCTATTGGAGGAGTGACCTGAGTGTGGACACAAACCCCTGGGCTCGCACCCTGGCCCACCAATGTGTCCCTGGGGGCTCACCCGGGCCTGGGGCCTGGGTCCCTACCACCTGGGGCTCATGGGGCCTAGCACTTACCCAGTAGACAGTCTAAGTGTGCAGAAATGGGAGATGCTTTGGCCTTACTCAAGTCCCTGGTTGGGCCAACAGATGAGGCCCAATGTCCATCAGCAGCTGCCATTTTCTGGGCCCCAGCTTCTGCTATGTAGCAGGGTTTCTCAGTCTCAGCACTACTGACATTTGGGGCCAGATAATTCCTTGCTATGGAGGGCTGTCTTGTGCACCATAGGATGTTCAGCGGCATCCCTGGCCTCTGCCCACTAGAGGCCAGGAACACCACCCTAGTCAGAACAATCAAGACTGTCCCCAGACATTGCCAAAGGTCTCCTGGGGGCAGAGTGGTCCTGGAAGAGCAGCAGGGGTGAGGATGGCTGAATCAGATCAGTGTCGGAGCGCACATGGCCTAAGACCGTGGGTTTAAGCCCAGGGTCTCCCACTGACAACCTGGGCACAAGGCTGCAAAAGTGGGTGTCGTCCCAACATCTCCAGGACAGAAGACATGTTCCCAACCAGTGTGGACCATTCCCAGGGGTGTGGAGCCTCCAATCTAGGGAACAAGGGCATGTAACCCCAGGGAAGCCTGAAGTGACAAAGCTGCTGTCACAGGAAGAGACCCCCCCACCCCCACCCCACCAACCCTGCAGGCCACTTTCTCGGCCTCTCCTGTCTTCCCCTTCCAGCGCTCTCTGGCTGTCACTGAGCCTCCTCCCTCTCCTTCCCTTTCCTTCTCTCTTCTCTTCTCTAACACACTATCAAAGGATGTCTTCCATTATTTCCTTATTTTTAATTTTAAAGATAGAGGAATGGAAAGTTTGCCTCAAATGAAACAAAATGCCATCACGTAAATTATTTTCTGCCTCCATGGCTCTCGATTTGTACTTATGGGGTCCGGGCTTCTCCAGGGGGGAAAAATGGTTGTTCTCCTAAAGACCTTCCTTCTGCAGTGCCAAGCCCTGCCCTCTGGGAGCCCCGCGGTTAGCGGTCTCTTGTGTCCTCCACCTCCCTGGCCTCGTCCTCATCCAGGGGGTGGGAGAAGCCCTTTCCCACTCCTTCCTGACGCCTCTCCTGACACCCGAGACAGAACATCTCACGGCACTTCTGACCTCAGCCACGGACCCCCCCTGGCCGCCGTCCCCATCCCCTTCCACGCTCACATCAGCGCCCCGCTGGCGGCCTCCCCGGGCCCGAGACACTCACTATTTGGCGGAATCGTTGAGCTGATACTCCCGAGACCTGTTGAAGCATTCCTGGATTCCTGAGTCACCCCAGAGCCGCATCATGGCCGAGAGCAGTTCTGCGGAGAAGGGCTCGGTGTCTTCCATCCGACTCACCACATCACACACCATCTTGGCGTCGGCCTGTGAGGGGAGATGATGGTGGCTCTGAGGCTTCGGTGGGGTCAGAGCCCTGGCCGGGCACCTGCTGGGGCCCCGGGACAGCGGCTCAGCCCTCAGCCCGCTCGGGAGACGCGAGCCACCAGACACAATCTGGACACAGTCCTGTGTCCGAGGCCCCCGGGGGGGAGTGGACTCTCTGGAGAGTCGGAGGCTCTTGGAGAAGTCCCAGCACCTCACCATCCCCAGTACCTCGTGCACACATGTAGCGCTTAACAGTTTACAAAGGACGCTACAGGGCACACTCACTCTTTGCTCAGAATTTCACAAGCACCTCATGAAGGAGCGGCGGGCGACCGGGTTAAAGGGCCTGGGTCTTCACCCCTGCCCGTGTGCATGCCCTTTGCCTGTGTCTTTGCGGTCCCTGCCCCCTGGAGGTAGAGCGGATTTCCTCTGTGCCTGACTGTGAGTGGCTGTGGGACAGGGTCCAGCCCTTCAGAGGCCTTGCGTGGTCCCACCTGTCCCGCTGGGCCTCCGTCCAGGCTCTCCTGGTCACTCCAGGAAGAGGATCAGGGACGCGCGGAGCACAGCTCAGCCGCCCTGGGGTCTCTGATCCCCAGCGGAACCCTTGCCTCATGAAGGGAAAGAATTGCCATTGTAAGCGACTGAGTTAGGGAAAGTTTGTTAGTACTATTGTGTGGCGATAACTAGTCACGGTGTTGCTATTCCCATTGTACAGGTCAGGAAACTGAGGGCCAGAGAGGGGAAGGCACTCGCCTATGCTCACAAGAGGAAAGTGCCAGAGCTGGGACTCAAGATCAGGAGTGTCTGACCCCAAGGCCAGCCTCCATGAGGAGACCCACATGTGCCGAGAGCAGCTGCTGACTGACTGTGGCACCTCTGATGGCAATCGGTGCCTGGCGCAGGGGGCACACCAAGGGTGACAGGCATTAACCAGAAAGGTCTGCGACAGAGCCTTGCTCGGATCACTTTCCTGACCCAACAGCGGGAGACAGCCACCGTGTGGCCCCTCTGGCCCACGATACCCCAGAGGGCTCTGAAGAACAACTCTGCCCCGTGGCTGCCGCCTGCCCCGGGTCCCTGGCTCTTCGTAGGTGCTATAACGGCCTAGCGCTGGGCGGCATTCCAGCGGTGGGGAGAGAGGTGTGGCTGGGAGTGCAGGGCCAGGTGAGGAGTGGGCGTGGCCGCACGCTGGTCCCCTCGTGTTCAGAAGCCCACAGTCCCTCGGGGCCCAGGCCAGCTTCCCGGGCAGGTCATGGGCCTAGGAAGGCAGGTGTGGGAAGCTGAGGCCAGGAGCGGGTGAATGGGTGAATGGCGGCTGGCAGGCACAGGCCCTGCTCTGGGCCGGCTGTGTTCTTTCTTTCCTTGGGATTTTTCGGTAGGGCGAGCCTCAGGGGCTGCGCCCCCAGAGTCAGTGGTGTCACCAAGACCCGTGTCCCACTCCCGGAGAAGCCCCTAAGCATGAGGCTACCAGAAAGAAGCAGGAAGCCATGGTGTTCAGGCCCCCTCATCCTCTCCGCAGCCTGGCCCCTCATATGTCCCAGGCCCCAGACAAGACGTAGAGCACTGACAGGGGCAGATCCAGGGAGCTGAGTGGGTGCAGGGCAGAGTGGGCCCCGCTGTATGCATCAGCACCCTGGGACCCCTCTTCCAGCTGCCTTTCCCCCAGTTTCAGCGTGCACGGGCTGGAGCCCATGGTAAGGCTGAGCCCTTGCTGGGGGTTGGGAGTGGGGTGCCCCAGGCCTGCCATATCCTTGACCTCCTGGGTTCTCTGGCGTCGGGTTTTCTATTCATGGGCATGGTAATCGTCACTAGCCCGTCACTCTACTCTCAAGTCCTTTCAACACCCAGTCCTCCGACTGAGCTAGAGGAAACACAGACTACTTCATCCGTGGCATGTGGTTCAAGAAGTGAGGGAAACTGCTGGAAATCTGCCGGTGTCCCTTGGGGTGGGAGAGACACAAAGGAAATGAGGTTAGCACCTGGGCACTGCGTGGCTGACAAAAGATTCTGCACAAAAGGTATGTGGGGCCAAAGCCTTCTGTGGAGACTTTCCAGAACTGAGCTATGTAGCGAGGTAGCTATTTATGTGTCAGAGGCCCGTCTACTGCGGAAGGTAGATGGGAAAGTTCTGGCGGCCGTCTACCCTGGGAAGCAAGCTACAGTTGGCCTGCGGGCTAGCAGCCCAGGCCACAGTGCTCCCTAGGGTTCCCGTCCCAAAGACCCCAGGCTTCGGATTCCCGAGTCACCCACGGCGGACATGGAGGGCTGCCCGCCAAGAGGGGCAGGACTGTGTCGGAGAGGCATCTCTGCAGCATCTGAGCCTCCCCTGGGAAACGACCTGGAAAGCTGGCCCTGGCGCCTGGGTGATGGGCACCCCGGGCAGGCAGTGACTCAGGCAGGGTGGGTGAGCAGAGGTGCTGCCTCCACCTGGGGCTAAAAGGAGGCCTATGAATCAGGGGCCAACACGCTGATGCTGCTCCCGAGTGCCTGGTGACCTTGGGAAATCTCGGTCTCCCTCAGCTCCCCGTGTGCCATCTGTCCTATTTGTGGAATGCGGCTGGGGAACCTGGCCAGAGTGCTCCCAGCTTCCTCCGGTGGGCCCCACCTTCGTGGTTTCTGCCCGATCTGTGAGAAGGGAGTCAGGATGGGGTTGGGGGGGAGGGGTGGGGGTCGGGCGAGACTCTGCTGGGTGAGAGACACCCTCTGATCTGAGTGCCTTGGAGCTGCACCCATGCGGTGTGGTCTATAACCACAGCCTGTGAACCTCAGTTTGCCCACCTGCGTGTCCTGAGTCTGGTAACAGCCATGGGCGACATGGCTTGGGGAAGACTGGAACAGGTGGCATGCTGGGGGTTCTCCAGGGGATAGCCCAGGGTCTGGAGCCATCGTCCCAGTTCCATCTCCTCCCCGAGGTGTGGTGGTTGGTGGGAGAGGGGGGGCTGTGCTGGCAGCACCCTCCACCTGCCCTTGCTGTTTCTCCCCCCAGCTCAGCGTCTGGCCCCACCACTGGCCCAGCTCCTCAGACTCAGCCTAGGTGTCACCCTTGGTTCCGCTGCTGCCCTTCCACGTCCCGTGTCCCGCCGGCTTTTCCGGCAGAGCTGTTTTCAGTCAGACCACTTCTCCCCGTCTCCTCATGCACCCGTACCTCCCTGGGTCCCAGCAAGCACCGTCTTTCTCCTCCCAGCTGCCCTCAGTCCCCTCCCAAGCACTCCCTGCCTCCCTCTCCTCTCTCTGGTCTGTTCCTCACACGGCAGCCAGCAGGAGGCTGTTAGTTTCCTCCTGACATAAAGTCTCCCCTTAGAAAAAGAACCGAACGCACTGACATCCAAGTAAAAGTCTGCATTTCCTAACTTCGCTGGCAGCTCGGTGTGACCCAGTGACAAGTTCTACCCAATGAGACATAAACCAAAGGGGGGTGCCCTATTTATGTATGTGTGTACGTACGTATGTATGTATTTATTATTTTAGAGAGAGAAAGCAAGCGAACAGGGATGAGGGACAGAGGGTGAGACAGACAGAATCCCAAATAGGCTCCATGCTCAGCAGAGAGCCTGACATGAGGCTTGATCCCAGGACCCAATCAAGAGTCAGTTGCTCAGCCGACTGAGCCACTGGGGCACCCCTAAGGATGTCCTTTTTAAAGGGAAGTTGTACCCTTTTGTCTCACTTCCTCCTGAAGTGAGAACTGGAACTTAGATGTGATGGCTGGAGCTCTAGCAGCCAACTTGGATCGTGAAGACAAAGTCTATACCCTAGGGATAGTAGAACAGCGATACGAAAACAGCCTAGGTCCTTGATAACTCTGTAGGCACCCCATGCCTTCTGGATTTTCTTTTTTAATTTAAAATTAATTTACTACTGAGGCGCCTGGGTGGCTCGGTCAGTTAAGCATCCGACTTCAGCTCAGGTCATGATCTCACGGTTCGTTGGGTTGGACTCTCCGCATTGGGCTCTGTGCTGACAGCTCAGAGCCTGGAGTCTGCTTCAGATTCTGTGTCTCCCTCTCTCTCTCCCCCTCCCCTGCTTGCTCTCTCTCTCTCTCTCTCAAAGGTAAATAAACATTAAAAAGTATATTAAAAAAATAAAATAAATTTATCATTGAAGTCATTATTTTCCAGGGCTCAGATATTCACAATCAAACCTAATCCGAATGAGTACAATAACTCTCCCTGTTGAGACTCTTTCAGTGGGCTCTCATCAGGCCTAAATTCCAAACTCATTACCTTGGCTTCCATGCCCCCACCCACCCCTGCGTTCCAATCTCCTCCCACCTTTCATGGGACTCTCTCATGGGGCTCCAAACACACAGCTCTTCTTTCTGCTGCCCAGGTAAACCAGGGTCATCCCACCTCACGGACCTGTGCCTGGGTTCCTCCCATCTCAAAGGTCACTTCCTCAGGAAAGCCCTCCTCGATGCCCCCAGGCGGAGTCTATTCCCACAGCGCACTGACCACACATGTCACAGCTGGTGTCACAGGTGCCTGTTCCTCAGGGCAGGGGGTTTCCTGATTTTTCACAGTACCCCAGGTCTCACACCGTACTTTGTACAGATCTGGCGCTCAGCAACATTTGTGGAACGAACGGGCCCTTGGCATTTTATCGGGCACAGCCCCAATTTCTCACTCCCTCCTCTCTAAGTTCCCTGACTCTTCTCATCTGGTTGATTTCACCAATATTTATAGCTCATTTAATCATCACAGTAACTGCAGGTCGCCACCCCATTTAACAGATGGAGAGACGGAGGTTCTGAGGTGAGGGAATGGGCCCGAGCCCATGCAGCTAGTAAGTAGGACAGCTTGGAGCCAAGGTCAACCTTCTCTACTGGCTTCTAGTCAACAGCCTCTTTACCTGAGGCCCGAGCCGAGGACTCACTCGTCCCAGCCCAGCCCCCTGAACAGAAGGGAAGGAGATGGGTAAGAAGGAAGGGTACGAAGGGTCAGGCTTGGAAGGGGAGGAGGGACCTTGCCAATTTGCTCTGGGGCACTGTGGAGGGTGCGAGG